AATAAATTGACTATGGCTCTCAGAATCCTTCAGCCACCAGCATGACCAAGTCTCAAAACGTGTCCTGGAGCTCTGGACAAGCCCCTCTTGAGGATCTTCCTATAAAATTATTGTTAATTTTGTCTGTCTGTCTATCTGTCTGTCTGTTCAATCTGTCTGTTAGACAGGAGAAGCAAGAATCTCTACTGTCTTGTCTGCACTGTGTCCAGTGCACTTTTGACAGTCACCTTGGTACCTTGGCCTTCTAAGCAAAATCTTACATGTAAATCTGAAGAGGGTTCTCCCAATACTTTTTTTTTTAAAAAAAGATCATAGTGAATCTAAGGAGCTCAGATCAGAATTTGGAAAGTTAGTTTCAAAAAGTAGTTACCATAAGTTACATCCAAGGCCTTCAGAAGCATAAGGCGGTGTGTCCAGTTGCTAATCCCAACTAGAGTAGACCCATAGAATGAACAGGACTTCTAAAATCCTACTGATTCACTGGATCTACTCCAAGATGGTTCTTGCAACTGGTTTGAGCCAGCCGTTAAATTTAAAAGTAATTCCTTTTTTGTTTCTGAAAAGTATCTAAAGGATTGGATAAATAGGCTTTTAAAGTCCGAATGCTACAAGCTGTAGGACTCTAATACAAAACTTATCCATCTCAGTATCGCATCAATATCCAAAACAGAGCCTAAAGCAACAGAACAGGACCTTGTGATATTCTTCCTCCACTATTTAGTAAGGCCATGTTCTCATAACTATAAAGGTAACTAAAAATACATAGTTACAGTGCAAAAAAAAAGATGAAATTATTACATTGAAATTTTAATTTAGTTATACTTCAGTTATCAAGCACAATTACTTATTAACTAGTTATTCCTGCAGTCTGGGATCTCATATTTAAAGTGAAAGAAAAGATGTTGCAATGTTAAAAGAAAATGATAAAATGCTCAGTGCGTATTTTGTGGATTTTCTAAGAAATTTCAAACCTAAAATCTAAATCATGATTCTGAAAGTGCAAATCATATCGGCTCCAGCCAGCATAGTCACTTATGAGGAATTACTGGCATTGCAGACCAGCAAGTTCTGGAGATCCACACGTTGCTCACCCCTGCTTTACTATAGCTATTTCTTCTATCATGAAACTGGGGCATAAAGAGTACTAACTAAATTCCCTTTTCTTCATTTATTAAAGCTGTATTATCCCGACAAGCCACTTCAGAATGAAATTTGAAAGGCCTGCAGCCAAGAAGGAGGCTGGGAGGGTTTTTCTCACTTTTAAAGTCATTGCAATTTGTGCAAAATAAAATCTTTCTTCCTGAGAAGCAAAGCAGGGGCATGTGTGCACACACGCACACACAAGAGCGCAGAAGGATTTACTGATTGGTAAGAAAGACACAGACAACCCATTCAGTGCTTCAGCTTCTGAAGTGGCAGGAGTTGCTCTAGTTTTTATGGACTTGGCCATGTCTTAGAAATAGATTTGGAAACCCAACCCTTTATTCTTGGATAAGAAATCTATAGAGGCACTCCAGATGTCAGACCTAATGTCTTCTTGCCCTTCTTGCTGGCCCTTGGCTGGACTTGATGGAACTTAAAGTTCATCAACATCTGGAGTAACATCTGATCGTAAGCCTCTGCCTGATGTCTTATACATATAGCTGTAGGTCACGTGCCCTGTTTAAATGCTTGCTTCTTTTTTAAAATGCATATATAGGGCACAAATTTACAGAGACTAGAAAAAAATAAATGTAGCCTGCAGCCATAGACACTATTTTCAGCCACCCTCTGGAAAATAAACGCTCGCTCCATGGTGAAGAGCTTCTCAGTATTTATAGAAGGGGATTTTTTTTAACGCCCACTCCTTTCTCTGGCACATGTGGTTTGCTTGGTTTCCAGATGTGAGTTGGTAGCTGCCACTGCAGAAACACTGCCTCCTCTTCCTCCACTCTGAAGGCGGAATTCCACTCCGTCACATCTGTGGTTTGGATTGTTCTGCTGGATTACCAGCTGCTATTTTGAGATAAGCCTTATGTGATGAGGATTGAGTAACAGGTGCTAAAAATGCCCTACTTTCAGACGTTTTGAACATTCAGTAGATTTTGGGTTACGTGTTAGATGGCTTTGAGAAGGACTCAGACATATTGGGAGCAGAGGAGGGGTCTGTTCCTGGCCGCTGGTTTTAGTGTCTCTATGGAACCTCTGTGTTCAAGAGCAGTCTACCACTGAATACCAATTGCCAGGGACAGCAGCCAAGGACTGTTGCTGAGTTGTCATGCGGATGGCAGGCTTCCCATAATCAGCAAAGCTGCTGTGGTGAGAAAGAGGATAATGGATTTTAGAACCAAGTGAGAATTATTTGAAGATTTCTTTGTCACATGAGACAAAAAAGAATGAGATGTGTAATACAAAATGAGCACGTTCATCCTTGCCTGTAGAGAGCACCGAAAGGCATAGATCTTCAAGGCGTGAATTCGAGTCCTCGTTATTCAACAAGGAATTGCGAGATCCGTCAATCTCACTTTTCCAACATTCGGTTTTTCAAAAATACAAAGGTCTTTAAATCTTGTTCATGAAAAAGAGATGTGAAAATTCTTACAGAAAAAAAATGAACCAAATGAAATCTCTGTATTTAGCTGGGTGCTCAAGATTGTGATGTTTTCTTGTTGCTTGTGCTGCTGCTGTTGTTTTTCCCTAACAGGCGCCTCTTAGTTAACAGATACATGGCAGATAGGTATGACGTGGTCTCCTCTGTACGGAGAATATTGGATCTGACTCGGGCATGTGAATGAAAATTTGGTTCTTTTTGGTACAGTAGGATAGTGGTATTCATGGGGGATCAGTTCCAAGAGACTTGTACCCTATACTGCAGTGGTCCCTAACCTTGGGCCTCCAGATGTTCTTGGACTTCAACTCCCAGAAATCCTGGCCAGCAGAGGTGATGGTGAAGGATTCTGGGGGTTGTAGTCCAAGAACATCTGGAGGCCCAAGGTTGGGGAACACTGCTATACTGTATATATATAGCATAGTCTCTGGCTACCTCTAGTGGCCATTTCTGGAACTTCACCTTAGAAATGTGTATTTCTGGGGCGGGGGGTTATTTAATATTTTCAGACAGCAGATAAGTGAAACCGCAGGTACTGATTCCGCGGATATGGTGGTTCTACTGTATTTCCTCATGGATGGGATGGACAGAAAGATATAGATATTTGAAAGCAGGAGGAAGAGAACTTTCATGAACATGAAGACTTGCCAATACCTATCAAGGCCGGCCATGACATTAGGCAGAGTGAGGTAACCACCACAAGCAGTAGATGCTGGAGGGCAGCAGTGGAAGCCTCAATGTTTTCCTCTTGAGACCGCTGGCCACTCTTTCCAAAAGTTGTGTGTGCCACCTAGCCTGTTCCCCTACTCTCTAAATGGAACGGCTGCCTTCACACTGCCTGCGTTC